AGTATGACATATTTCGTACGATTAGCTTTGTAGCCATAGAATTGTACTTACAATAAGTGAACTTCAAAGTCTTTAATGTATGCCAGAAGGAGAAGCATTTGTAAATTATGTTTACATAGTATGAAGTGTATTTTTATATGCGTGCAATTAGTACATCTGGTCTAATCTTGACTGAAAGTTTCTGTTGCATTTCTGATAATCGTTACTTATTCATTTATTAATTATTAATCTTATTTATTCAGTTTACGTGATTTTCTAGTTAACTTGCTGATCCACTAATGTCGCCACATAGCTCTGTGCTTCACATATTGGAAAGTATTCTTGTAAACAGCTGAGCATCTGGTGGTGTTTGATCGCTTTTTTAAAACTTCTCTTTGAATGGGAGATACTTCATCATTGCATGTATTTGAGGCTGCAGTTCTTCAGTAGTGTAGCTGATCTCAAAGTTTATTTGGAAACCAGGCTCACATGTCACTATTTGTAAACTGTATCTGAGCTGTTCATTAGCATAAATATAACAACTAAGGACCAAACCCAGCTCTAGCATATGTATATTAGCTTTCAACTTTCAAGTGTGAAGTTAGACCGCGCCATAGCTCAAGCGGTTAGTCGCTGGCTTCCCACCGCGGCGGCCCGGGTTCGATCCCGGGTCTGGTCAAGTGGGATTTGTGGTGGACAAAGTGACGGTGGGGCAGGTTTTCTCCGAGTACTTCGGTTTCCCCTGCCAATCTTCATTTCACCAAATTCTCCATCATCATAATCTCCCGGGGGAGGCTACAATAGGCCAATCAGTGGCCGACGTGCCTAGTGGACCCAATTGGACTCCACCCCCCACTAAGCGAATTAAAAAAAAAGCGTAAAGTTATTGGTGCCGCCGTATTCATAGTAAGCAGCTGAAAGTTATTATTTTTACATCAAATTCCGCCATAACATAAAATATCGTGTTAGAGTTATTTATTATGAGAACAATTTAATTTATAGTGAATACTTGAATTCCTTTCAATTTTGGCTGGGTTACTGATTAACTTGAGTGAAGTTGTTAATGGTGTTTCTCAGTCTCTTCACAGCAATGCTAATATGGCACATTGAAATATACCACTTCTTTCTCCTTTCATAATTTAACTTATTCATGACCTTCGTCCGATCTTATTCGGTGTTATATAATCTATTCATTTCAAAGAGCTTCGTTGAATACCACACGAATCAAATTAATATTGCTTGAAATAACATTTTTTGTTGCGAGAATTGAATTTAAGCCGATATGCTGGTGTTAAATGACAGCTGCAACATCTGTAATAAACAGGTATGAACACAAGAATATTGACTGATTGACTGATTCGATCTGAGACAGTTGATGTAGGCGATACTCTGTGTGATCTCATGATAGGAGGCAAATGAGGTTTTGTTGTAACTATTTAAATTTTATGCAACGAAAACAAAAAATGTTGGCAGTAGTGTATTTTGCATTATATATATTTCGTTATGCCTTATAAATTGGTTAGTTATGTCTTTGTAAGCAGATAGAACTATGCTAGTTTCGTGGTAAGTCTTTTTTCTTTCGTTATGTATAATCATGTTTATGAAATGACGCTTGTCTCTTTCGTCATAAAGAGAAAATCGGAAAATCTCAATTATGAAAACACTTCTCTGATCTATAAACATTGTGATATTTTCATCGAATTTTGAGATATATCATTAGATGAACCTTGTTACTTATGTTGCAGATGCTATCGTAGTCACCGAATGTATCTGCTATAGCTTCAGAAATTAGCTTGGGCCTGGCAGATTAGTATATAGCTAGTACAAATTGCATTGCTTTATAATCAGTATATATTTTATATGAAGTTGGCACTATTTTGCAATAACATGCTTTTTGCTAATCAACCTCAGTTCATTTCTGTCTTTTCACAGCTCAGTATACGTAACCTTCAAGAAACTGTCATCATCATCTGTATTTTTATGTCTCTGCATTTAATGAAGTTCGTTTATTTACTGTTTTATATGTGACTAATGATGTGTATTGTTTTTCAACCTTTCTTCACACGCTGCGCCTTTCACATGAACAGCAACAAGTAAGACACGATTATTGAAGCAGAACTTATCTCAAGTAGTTACTATAGGATTCTGACGATGGTGTATAACACACTGATATATTGGGTTTTTGGACTTTATCCATCGTCCTGGTTTTTAAGATAACAAATAAAAACACGACGTTTCGGAAACAGATCCAGTTTCCGAAACGTCGTGTTTTTATTTGTTATCTTAAAAACCAGGACGATGGATAAAGTCCAAAAACCCAATATATCAGTGAGAACTTATCTCGTGTTACTTTATTCCGAGCATTGAATATATTCTGTCCTATTCACTTACATAATTTATCTTCTTATCTGCTTCTTTTTCATTGGTAATTGTTTCATTTACAGATGCAAGATATCCGATAAAAGTGACACTGGGATATTACACAATACTCGGGGGAGAAACACTACGTAGGTTTTGTATCGCAGGATGTTGCCTAGGATTTGGAACTTACAGACGGAGTTACTACGGTCATGACATTGTTATCCTTTTCGTTTCGATAAATCGAATTGCGAGTTGTCATTTGTTGCTACACGTTTATTGAACACGGTTACCACTGGATATACAAAACGTTTTGGAGAGTCCGTTGCTTACAGTGAATGTAATCCCGCTTGAGAACGCTGAATATTTCGTATGAATCCAAATCACACCTATTTTGAATTATTTTTAAAATGGCATTTAAGGTAAATAAAGCGTTTATTCTGGGAATGACGCAAAATCCATAAAGTTATTCTACAGGCAGAGTGCAGAGTTTTGTGGTTGTTACATTTGGTGGTATATGTAGTTACCACTGTGAATTATAAAGTTAATTAAAACTATTTCTTGCAAAGGAATTAAAATCTTGATTTTTCGAAGTGGTCTTATTGATGTTTCTTGAGCAGTTAGAGCAGAAATACTCTGGTACTTAATTTGAAAAATGTAAACTCAGAGTTTACGAAAATAAATTCCGTGGCTTTAGCCCGCAAGCGAACTATACCGACCGAGCGGTTGCCTCTTGTCGGCGAAGTTAGTGCCAACTTTAGCTGATAGAGGGTGTCGCGTGGTCAGCGCAACGATTCTCCACCGCCGTTAATTTCGGTTTTCTAGACCGGAGCCGCTATTTCCTTGAAATAGCTCCTAAATTATCCTCACGAGGCTGAGTGGACCCCGTTCCAGACCCACTACTTCTCAGAAAATCTGGTAGCGCCGGGTATCGAACCCGGAACCTCTGGATCTGAATCCAGGAACTCTGACCACTAGACCACAGAGGAGGCCACTCGGAGTTTACCATCTTCTCTTATTTCAGAGGAGGTGTGTTCGGGGCCAATAGGAGAATCGCTTCTTGTTCCTATTTGTAATAATTTAGGTAACTGAAGTCCAGCTCTCCTGTTACTTCGGTAATCTACTTTGTCTACAGTAAGCGACAGAGTTAAAGGTATTTGAAGCCGATTTCCTTGCATTATTTTCTGGAACCAAAATGCTACGTAATTTTGCTTTAAGTCCAGTCTTCTGTCTTGTTTCTCATTCCAATAGCTACAGGTGTTCTTAGGGGGAAATGGACAAAAATACTTACAGCGAGGAGCTTTGATAAGGAGGAGAAGCCCTTCCAGTCCAGAGCTGAAGTCGCTGAGGAGAACGGTCATCATGGTGGACATGGCAAGAATTTAGAATTGAACCTTGATTGCACCGAATTTTTTGTCTCTAAATGTCACACAAAAGAGCACAAAATATGTATGCATGTTTCGGTTTGTGTATGGCCAGAAGCATAGGAGCTGTTGTTTAATTGACATTATGAAGTTCTTTTAGTACCTCGCGCATTGGGTTAGGCCGTCACCACGAAACGAATCGTCATACAAAAAAGTAATTCGTTTGGCTCAGGATAAGTACCAATGACGATCTTTCACGGACATGTCAACGAATCTTCGGGAAATGTAATTAGTGGGTAAGTTTCAGTACCTCACTGTCTTCCAAATTAATCACTTCATTATAATAAATATAGATTTGTGTGTTCACTAACTGTTGTTAATACATCGTGTATTATTTCGGGCCATCGTTTCTCTGACAATACCTTAATGGTCAGTTCATATTCGTTTAAGGAACCGTTTTCAGAGAACACGTATTTTACTCCATGTATGATTGGAAGGACCTTTCTTGTCTAGGATCCATACCAGTACATTTAATTTACAGTTCAGTGAAAGCGTTAAATTGTATTCATATTATCAACTTCAAGAAATTAATTTCTTTTATAAATTACAGAATTTTATTATAAACTTATTGTTAATGTTGTTATAGCGTTACTGGTTGAACGAAATAATTGTTTTTGTTCTTCTGCTTTACTGGCGCTGCAACCTTGTGTGGGTCTCGGCCTTCTCCATAGGTTCATGTTCACTGCCTTTCGTCTTTGTTCTCTGAAGGTTTCGTAACAATAAGCAACCTCCACTATGGAAGAACAGGGACTACACTTCGCCTGGCCATTCTGGTTTGACCTATCTGGCATGGGTGGCTCTACCAGAGTTTACGCTCCCGCCAGCATTACTCTCCGGTCATTGGCGCGCAAACCTCCCACCCCCACGATAAGGCGGTATCCCTCGAGGAGTGTTTTTTTTTGTTACATAACTTATTTTGAGAAGTGATATGCATTTCGTTTAGCCCAGAATTGTGATTTTGATCTCTGAAGGAAGCAACATTACAGTTCCTATGCTAACCCACGTTTCTTGGATGCGGACCTATGTAAGAAATGAAAAGGGTAATATATTTTGGTGGAATATTTTATCGGACAGTTCCGCGTCTCCTGTTTTGTTACTTCTCTTTAACTTGTGTTTTGTGTATTTTTGCTGTTATGCCTCGCCCGGCTTCTGTCGGAGGGTGAGCTGGCACGCTCGTCTGGACGGATGTTGACACTCGCCATCTTAAATCTTGGTCGGGTTGGTCTTAATTACTTTCGCTGTTTATTCCCTGTCTGTTTCTTGTTCTCACAGCTTTTCCATTTCTTACTACCTACTTCTGTTTTATGTGTACCTTTGCCGCTTTTCTAATCACAAAATAAGAGATCAGAAATCAGCTGAATCAATTGTAATGGAAGGAGAGGAAAACATTCGTTTTGTAGATAAAGAATACATTGAAACAAATCTTGAGCCCACAGTAAACTTGTGTAGGAGGAAACTATCATGATCTGAACTAATGTAGAATGCTTGTCTACAGTCACAGTAGTTCTCCTGAATTCCAAAAAGATGTAATAATAGGAGATAATGCAGGTTAGGCTATGGGGTTATAGGTTATGGTACCATACAGTGTCCTAGATGTAACCAACATTTCAGAGGAATATTCTGCCTCCATGTCCTTGGTAGAATGTGTTGGTAGCAGGTTCCCCCAAAATGTTTGTAACCCCCTGCGAGACTATGACCTCATATCGCAGAAGACTACAATATAAATGTTTGTTGCCCTGAAAACATCAAATCTCACACATCAATTTATTTATAAGTGGGGAGGGGTCGTGCTATAACAGGGCAGCCCTGGTGAAGTCTTTCCTTATTTTAATGACTTTATAGCTGATAAACGAATATTCTCTAAATAAAGTACGCCTACGTAGATATAACTCCTGAATATTATGAAATTACGCGGGTAACAAAATTACGTCTCAGTCTTCAGCGCTGAGAAAGGTCGAAATTCTGCGTGGAGGTGTTTCAAGATATTTTCGTACTACCCAACTCCTCTGTGTTTGCGATTAGAATTGCTGAATGTTTCGGCAGTTCAGTAAATAAACAAGTAAGATGACGAACAAAGGAAAAGTACAATATGAATATTTGTATGAACTTAGATGATTCAAACAGGAAGATGACGAACTTTAGGATTTAAGGCCCTGACACCGGTGGTTATAAAGAGTCCTATCTTCTAGGATAGAACACCGTGTAGTCCGTTGAAAACCAACCGACGTTTAGGAAGAACGTATCGCCTCCATCTTCCTGAGTAGTACTCTTCATAATAATCCTTGTCTGACACCTAAACTATCACGTGTTTCTCCCTCCCCCCTCAGATTTCCCATAGTGTCCGTATATGCTTCATGATAACAAGTCTAGACAGAAGTTAACAGTAGACGAAATGTCTAATATCTCTATCGTCTTGTGAAATGTGAATTATTGTATTTTAAAACAAGAGCATTCTTTAATGACAAATTTGCGGTAACTGGCTGCAATATCATGATCTCTGTCCTCCCATATGTGTTCAGTACTGGTTCAGGAGTAGCGCCGAGGGTAGCCATGTTGTGTGCATGAACTTTGACGTTCATCTGTCAGCAGAAGGAACGTGTCATGATCGATTCATTCTGTTGCATGACGGCATCTGGCCCCGCCTACCGTCCTGTTTCGTCCTTCCATTCCTTTAGCTATAAGTACGTAGGTTGAATTGCAACGTTTGCATGCAGCATGTTTGCTTGGGGTGATGTGGGTGAGTAGCAACTCTCGTTACTCTCGCATTGGAACTATTGAACTAATTAATTAATTTAATCTAATTTCTTGGGATGGAGTGAGACTGAGCCCACTTAGTACTGCGGCCAATACTGGCCTATTATACCAGCCCCAGATGATTGATGATGATGAGTGTGGAGCAGTCGGTGTAATGAGAATTGGCAGGGGAATCTAAAATACTTTCAGAAAACCTTCCCCAGGGCCACATGACGTGACCTGGGATCGAACCCGGAACGTCGCGGTGGGAAGCCGGCGACTAACCGCCTGAGCTAAGGTGCGGCCACCCTACCGAAGCAAGTAATTAATTGAATGCTGATGTTACAATATTCAATGCGTATTTGCCTTTCGCAAATACTGTTAGCTAAGTGGCCTGGAGATAATATGTTCTGTATGTCCTGAAGTGACAGTACAGTGCCATTTAAGACATGTGTGGGTCGTGAAGGTAAGGCTGTGTATATTGGTATACTGGCCTTGGATGGTGGGGCAGAATCACTGTTCCATCGATCGAGATGGTGAACTGATTTTCGGGTTTTTATAGTTTTCCTCCTCTCCAAGCGAATGCTTGAGTATTACCTTTAACTACTCCATGACGACCATTCAAATTCTAGGTCACCATTCATGAACATCTTCCCATGTCATTGGACGCTCGAAACATTGTTCACAGAATTCGGATAATTATTCACCATTATTTCTGTGTACGGGTATAATCAACGGGTCCCTTTCAGTACGATGCAATTACTCGTATCTCAGGGCCACTTACTATTCACGCACTTGAATCAGAAAATGTCGCACATTTTAACTCGCCTTGTTCGCTGTAAACTTTGTGACTCAATCCTCTTTGTATTTTGCAGCTGAATCTGTACCCTCACCTAGCAGTGGCGACCTGTGGAGAGGTAGGTATATTCACAAATTCCGTAACTTTTCTAGCTGATTTAATAAATAAGTTTCTTTTTTCATTGTGTAAACGTCCCAGCTTCCCGTAACCCTGCTGTCCAGTCAAGGATGTTGCTTTCCTTATGCCCCCTATTCATAAATTTGACATGAGTTGGATAGCCCCATCGAAGGAACAGTTCCTCAGGTATGTAAGCCTGTTCTGAACCGTGTAGGTTGAAGAGCTGAGTCCCATGTAGGCATGGGAGATGAACAAACAAGACCTTGACAGGAAAAATTAGCTAAGTACTACACATAGGCCCCATATGTGGCCAGTATGAACACAGAATCAGACATTTTTGTGGCTTTTGAGTTTTTACACATGGAACTATCATGGTCGTGCCATTACAGTACGTCATTATATTATATGAAACTGTTCACGCTGTGTGGCAGTAGTGATTGAAGACCTCCATAAATTCCCTACACGATTCAGCTAGCATATTTTCCTCAAGGGGTGATTTTGCTTTTGAATAACATTGATGCAAAATAGAGCATCAAGATGCCATGGCCTGGAATTGATCGATGAGAAATTGAGTCTTCAGAATATCCCATAAGTCTTGGATTTCGGACACTGCTCAAACAAAGTACGCTCAGAATATCCTTCATGCAAGCAGACGCGCGGCAAATTTCTGCCAGTGCGAGAGAGAGCCGTGAGTGATCTCACTAAGGACGAGGGCACACCAAGGAAACTGCGCTGCCGTTTCCTCAATTTGCGCTGCTCCATTCAGTAACACGTGTTCAACTGAGGCTGATAACAATTCTCGGAAATTGCGGTTGCCAGTTTCCTTGGTGTGACCTAAAGTGCAGTGAGCAGTTCGGCCTTAAACATGCTGTTGCCTTTGGTTCCAAACGTATGGGACCCCATGGAATTATATTTGCTGTGACGAGTACCTTTGAGAAATTTACCAGAGCATAAAGCTGCGGATCTTTTAATTCCTTGAAGTTGAGACTAATTCAACTTTGTAATATTCGAATTCAAGGGAAACGTGGTAGCGTAGGTAGTTCAGGCATTCTGCTACAATCCGGAAGGTCTCGGGTTCGATTCCCGATGAGGTCATTAGATTTTTTCCAACTGACGTAATCCCTCCAGCCGCTCTATTGCACAACCCAAAATTTGGATGATTTAAAAAGGTGAGTTTCTTACGAAATGTAATCGCTACAAAACTTTTAGTGCAAAGCCTGGTAAGTAGCAGGTTACAAATATTTCGATATTCACGTTAATAGCAATTCATTATGTTGAAAATTAAGCAAGCAGTCATTTGTCCTAGTTTTAACTTGTAAGTTTAGGGTATATACATATTAGTAATCATACTCGTCTTTAATTATTCGGTAATATATGCAGCATAAATATTCAGTATAGTGCTGCCTCTTACTCAACATTATGCTTAGGTGGATCGGATCAGGGAGGATGAGGTGTGCAGAAAATGTTTCGCGCCTGGGTGAAATTGTGTTCAGAAAACCTGAAAGGGCGAGACACTTGGGAGATCTATGCGCAGAAGAGAGAATAATATTGAAATGGAACTTAAAAAAAAAATAGGATTTGAGTTTTGAGCTGGATTCAGGTGACTCAGGATAGGGATCAGTTGAATCTTGTGAATAAGGTACTGGTCATGATCCTTCTGGGTTCATAAAAGGCGGGGAATTAGTGTTATTATTATTATGTTTATGACAGTATTGCCCTTTGTACTGGTTTGTCTTGGCCCTTTGTACACGGACAGTGAAAATAAATCATTGTCACTGCTAATAAACCGCGTGTTTCCATCCGAGTTTCACTAAGATGATTGGTGTTAACCTGATTGCAGTTTCTGTGCACAACGCTGTTCCTTTCGTTGGGTTTGGATTCCTGGACAACTTCATTATGATCATCGCCGTACGTACCTACATTAGGCCTAATTAATGTTGTGTGTGTGTTTTATTGTAGTAGTGGTAGCATTGGCTTTGGCGCAACTGGTGGTAAGTGCGGAGTTCCCATAATTTATCAGGCTCTCCGCTTTACAAGTAGAAGGCTCGTGTCACTTCAGTCTCTTTGTTTTGCAAAAGCACCAAGTCTCTAAATAGAGCAAAACCTGAAACGCTGGAAGTTTGGTACGAGGCGGTAAGTTACAGCTTGCCTCGAATGTTTTTTTTTTATTATTATTGCTAGTGGGGTGGGACTAAGTCCCTTGTACTGCGGCCACTTCTGGCCTATTGTACCAGCCCCAGATGATAGGCGAGGGTGATTGTGGAGCAATTGGTGCAATGAAGATTGGCAGGGGAAACCGAAGTACTCGGATAAAACCTGCCACAGCGCAAGTTTGTCCACCACAAATCCCGCTTGACCAGACCCGGGATCGAACCCGGGCCGCCGCGGTGGGTAGCCAGCGACTAACCGCTTGAGCTACAGCGCGGCCTGCCTCGAATGTTAGTCGTAATGTGAAGGTCAGGATAAACGGCTGTTTGAAGATTGCTCTTTATCTGTCGATACAGTTCGACAAATTCAGGCACTCAATCTTTGATCTATTTGTCTATGGCTCGACAGTCCTGTGTTGGACCTTCGCCGCTTTTTTCAGTTTCTAAATCTATACACAGTCGGTAGGACTAATTAGACGGGGGATCAGCCCATCGCAAGGCCGCTACCTACACACAGGACAGCATAAACACAGAATAAACACAAACAAACATCCATGTCTCGATTGGGATTCGAACCCACGAACCCAGTGTTGGAGCGAGCGAAGACAGTTTATGCCTTAGACCACGCTCCGACTGTGGTGTGCATTTTTTTTTGATACTGAACCACGATTAAGTGTAATACGTGTTGAGTGTTAGGACAGGGATACTGTCTAAAGGCATTTGTTCGGAAGCTTGCTATTACGTTGTGCGCTCGGGTTTGTATTCTGCACTATATACGTATATATGTATATATATATACATATATATATACGTATATATATACGTATATATGTTGTTGTTGTTGTTGTTGTTGTTGCTGCTGCTGCTGCCTTACTTTCATGTTTTATTGTGTTGGCGTATAAAGCTTAATGCTATAATTAAACTGTTGAATTTGCGAAGGTCCCCGGCTGTAACTGAGGTCTTGCGAATAGTAAGGGCAAACTTGTAAGAAGCGCATGTCGAGGAACCAAACTCTGTGATCATATGAGTAATCATGTAAGACCCCCCCCCCAAGAAACTGGTCAGTATTAATACACACAGGACGGGTTTTCGTGGTGGTGCTGCTCGAAACTCGTATTCGATAGGCGGTCGATTCGAATTTGAACCTGACATCAGCTCTCATCAATAAACGAAAAGTCTCCAGTTCTTTCTGTTCTGTTTTCCCTTTTCGATTTCTTGCCAGCTCCGAAGCCATGATCAGTACCGTGAAGATACAAACGTGCTGCATTACTGTTTTTTTCTTCTTCTTTTAGAAACTGGAAATTCGACTTGAACGTCGTAAAATATTGGGGTTATATTTCATCGACACAAACCAAATCTAAATTACATAGACAAATTTTATTGGAGATCCCAATACCAAATTTCATGAAAATCTGTTCAGTTGGACCAAGAGAATATGCTGACGGACTACCAAAACCTATCTTTGCTTTCACTGTATTCACTTTGAGCCACAATGCGTATGATGTGTGTTTGTAATGCGTCAGTGTCTTAGGCCATTTGTGCTTGTATAAAATTTGAGTAAAAGGTAAAGTTGTCCACATGCTTAACTAATTAAACAAAACACCATGAAGGCGTATGGGGAGTGGATGTAAAGATCCACATTTTCTTGACCACGGCAGTGGCTGGATGTGAGGGGTCAGCTTCACTCCCGGGTACGCATTAGTTAGGAGGTTGATTGAAACCCAGAGCCGATCTGGACGAGGTGAAGAAGAGAAAATTCTTGACCCTACCGGTACTCGAACTCCGACCCCTGGATCTTTCGGCCCGTAGCCAGTCGCAATATCAAACCGAGTAAAACTGATGTGTATAGGCCACCCTGTAGAAGGGACTGCCAGTGAGACCGGGTGGTAAATCTGTAAAATTGTGTACACATGGATGGGATTTTAAGAAGTGGAAAACATATACCGTCTGCTTAGAGGCCCGATAGTTAACTACGCTATCAATATAGAAACTATGTGGCGTCGCTGATAGGATGATTAATGAATTCTGTGGTCTAGTGGTCAGCGTTCCTGGCTACAGATGCAGAGGTCCGGGTTCGATTCACGGTGCTACTATATTTTTTCGGAGAAGTAGTGGGTCTGGAACGTGGTCCACTCAGCCTCGTGATGATAATTGAGGAGCTATTTCAAGGAAATAGCGGCTCCGGTCTATAAAACCGAGATTAACGGCCGTGGGGATTCGTTGCGCTGACCACGCGACACCCTCTATCCGTCAAAGTTGGCACTAACTTCGCCGACAAGCGGCTGTCGATCGGTCGGTATAGTTCGCTTGCGGACTGAAAGCCACGGAGTCTGAAGCAGTTGGCTCAGTAAATTTGCAGGGGAAATGTTTCTCTCTCTCTCTCTCTCTCCTTTTGTTCCCACTTTGGAGCATAGTGCTGATTTCTCAGTTTCATGATCATTTTACAGACGGTAACGCTCCTTGGACAGTGATCAGCTCGTTGCAAGGCCTCGAACCCACGATCCCGGCTTCCGAGCGAGTGAAGACATTACATGTCTTAGATCTCTCGGATACCGTGACCGGCGCCTGTTATTTGGGGTTCCTCAAACCAAAGAAAATTGGATGGACACATGAAGTTCTGCACTTCAGTAAAAAAGTGTACTAAGTACACACAAGAATGCTTAATGTGGGGATGGAACCGTAAATGGATTCCGTCCTACTTTTCAGAAGCCCTACATGCCATCCCACTTCTTGTATGTAAACTTAAAACTATCCTGGCACTGTCTGAAATACCGCCAACTTCTGACTTGTGAGATATGAAGCGTGGAACTTAATAAACCAGCTGTGCCAGCAGTCCAGCTCTCGCGCGTGCTGCATAATCGTCAGGCGTTCAGTTCACTGCGTGTCGCCGCCGTAAATCGTACGCCCTGTGTCCCTTAACGCTGCTTGTTTTATAATAAATCAGTCAGCACTCCGAGAATGTCCAATAAGAACACGTCTTGGCATGAATCAACCAATCAGAACAATTCTCCAAGAACACAGATCAATAAAATTGTAATTGCTTATTTTCGCCTTAAACAAAGCACACACATTTAGCTTTATAAGTGTTTAATATTATAATTTTGAAAGTGTTAATGAATGTCTTGTTTTAACCTTTACGGAGCCACGGCACTTGACAATACCTGCGGACTTGCTAAAACCATTACATTACTTTTATGTCCATATCAAGCATTGATTATGCGTTCTGTTAACCTCCTTTACTATTTTAGTTTATATGTATGTATTATCTGAGGTTATCATGTACGTATTAAAAGGAGCCGGTATAGCGACTGGCTACGGACTGGGCGACCGAGTGGTCGGAGTTCTAGTCCCGGTATGGTCAAGAATTTTCTCTTCCCCAAGTCGACCAGACCGGCTCTGGGGTCCACCCAACCTCCTATACAATGGGTGAGGGCTCTTATCCCGTGGCGTGAAACTGACCACTCACCTTCAACTAATGCCGAGGTCAAGAAAATGTGGGTCTCTACATTCACTCTCCCATACGCCTTCATGGCGTAATGCTTAGTTGGTTAAGCACAAGGACAACTTTATCTTACATAGTCTTTCTTGTAATGCTGACAGATTCACAGCTGGCCAAGAAATTTTTTATGAAACCCGAAGGTTTATCTCCGTGTTTACAAGAGTTCGCTGCTATACCTCCTCCTCAGCCAGATGAATCCAGCCCACATCCTCAAACCCTACTTCTTTCATTCTAATATTATCCTTTCATCTACACCTGTCTCCCATGTAGCATCTTTCCGAAAAATGTTAACCTGTTCCTCATTTTTCCCCTGCGTGCTACATCCCTCGCCTATCTCATCCTCCTCGATTTGATCACTCTAATAATGTAGGCCTATCTATATAAAGAGCGCAGATTATGTAGTTCATTGCGCTCTCCTCACCCTTCTGTTATTTCCTGTCTGTCATATCCGAATATTCTCTTCAGACCTCTGGTCTTAAACGCCTTCAGTATATTGTAACGCGTCTGGAATAGGCACTTCCACGGCAACGCAATAACAGCGAGCCGTTGCGTAGACAATGCCGAAACAACGAACGCGTTTCCCCGGGGATGAACAACAGAAGGCCGTTGAGTAACAACGGATGGGGCTCGACACCAAGACTTACTGACTGACTGACCGACCGTCAGTCGCAGTGTGACTTTGACTTTGTATTAGATTGACACAATATTTTCTGACTGGCTTCATATACATTTACCACAATACAGGTCGCTAGGCATACCCACAGGGATATATAAACTGATACACTTCTCCACTAGGAGGTGACGAAAAGGGAAGTCTCAAATCTGAGACAGTAAAATACGGTCACGAATCCCGTGGGATTCGGACCCGAAAAAACTGCGCTGGCAAGGACCAGCAGCATATACAAAATACAGACCCATCCTCTCGTAACTGTGAAACAGCAATTAATGGGGCTCGACACCAAGAATTACTGACTGACTGACTGACCGACCGACCGTCAGTCGCAATGTGACTTTGACTTTGTATTAAATTATCCCCCGTGTGGAGGCCGGGTAGAATACCTCCACCGTGACCTTGCGAGTTAGAGAACTGAGATCCAGCCACGGTCAAATACAGTTGGAACCTAGTCGCCAGAAGTCAAGCGACACTGCGAGTAATAATAATTGTAAGGTGTGTAAGATTGAGTGTCCAATAAAAATTCGCTAAATCCGAGGCCCACGTAAAGTTATTTGTCGCGTGACACACCCAACACGTGACAATATAT